TTTTTTTTTTTGAATATTTACCTCAGGAAAGGAAATAATTTAGCATTTGACCAAGGGCTTGCTAATGTTTGACTATCTTTTTTTTACGAAAAGGTAGCAGAATTCTTCGTCATTTGTAGCTTTCCAGGACACATGACAGATCTAAACAAGGTTGATGTTCGAACCGAAAATGTACATTGTTTCATTTAAGGTATAGCTAGAGAGTTCCCTGTATAGAACTGTTTCTATAGAGGTTGTCTTACCAAAACGTAAAAGCGCACGCGACAATGTGAGAAAGTATTATGGGTAATGCTTCCTAGTCACTATGAACTTCAATGAAACATCGTTGAAATATTAGTACCCCTTGTACCATTTGCATCGTTGGGTGCGCTTTTACGCTTTTCAGAAAAAAAATCTTTATGGGAACGGCTGTATTCCGCCACTGATTGTATTTGTTGTGGTTTCCAGCACGCGGGGACTTTCCCTTACTGTATCTCTAAATTCTCTCGGAACTTACATATGAGGATTTTAAAATAAACTCAGGAATTAGAGAATACAGGGAAACAGAGAATATTAAAAACAGCTTACTAGAGTTCATTAAAAGAGTTCTGATGAGACTCTGGGACTGCCAAGGTTCCTGTTTGTCATCTCTTCTTATAATTCATACGCGCCTAAAAAGTTGACGGTGTGGTCACCTTCTACAGTCCCGTGACCCAGGAGTCTCACGGTTACCACGCTTCCCTTTTTCATTACAAACACCGCTCCAGAGTATGTGGCTTCTTCGCCCTTCACAACTTTAGAGAGGTAAATATTCCCGTCGACTAGTATCTCAAATCCAGTCCTGTCGTTATCGGTTTGAAGGAAATGGAACTGACAGTAAACAAAGTAGCGGCCATCTCGTGGTATTTCCAGTGAGTCGTTTGTTGATTTCACTCCTNCCACTTGCATGTTGAAACTTGTAATCCTTAACTAAGAAGTCATGCGTTGAAATTAAAACTCTCAGTTTTCTACCCGGCTATATTATTATTAAACGATAACGGTTAATAAAATCACTTTGTCTATGAAAATCATATCATCTTATACCTCACTAAAATGTCAATAAACACGATTATAAGAACGTGTTTTTAAGATGTCGTGTTTTAACTGTAACAACACAACTCCGCTTTACAAGTTCTAAGGAAAGGTCCAGGAATCCCGAGTGACACTGCCGTCCCGTAGAGTTTCGGGTTCCAGTATTTAGAGCGACGTTCGTTGTAGAGTGGATCAGAATTTAAGACAAAAAAAAAAATGTTTCTACCAACAGAAAGTAACAAACCGGAATGAAGAGGGTATCGTAAGAAACTGTACGGTGGAGACTGTGATGTTTAAGGCTCCTTGAATTTATTCCAATGTATTAAGGAATTTTAAGAAAAAGACCAAAATTCCGTGTTATAGTTATCAGTAGTTCAAGGCTTTGATACTTTAAGCCGGATTTTGGTACAGCATTGAGAAGTTCGAACTGCTCCAACACAAAAGCCCTTTTATTCCTAGAAGTTGCCCCCAAACTCAGGGTTATTAGCATTGGTATGAATCACAAATTTGTCAAGTCACCACGTAGCAAGCAATTCAGATCTGCCTTTTTTATTTGCAAAATTAAGTAAGGTGGATTTGCTTATAACATTTTCAATAACATAACTTTAATTAAAAGCTTAGTTACGTCGCATTTTTTAATGTTACACAGGAGTCCTTAACATGTAATCTTTGACTTACCCTTTTTTAAACTCAGGAAAATTAAGGCATGGGTCAGCAATTATTTTCCTCAAAACAGTTAGGGGGTGGTCTACGTTCTGAGGCTTGGTTCATAACAACATAAACTTTTGGGAGACAAATACACATTCTAAAGTGATTATTTTTGACTTGTCAAACTTATGCAAATTAGGTCACGTGACTTGATACGGCCAAAAAATCGTAGAAATTCTTTAAGCAAAAATGGGAACAGTTTGCAAAAAGAAGGTTTCAACAGAACTGGTACAGGACAAGTCCTAATGACAACAGCAAAGGAACTGTGCTTGGCAGTTGTTGAATAGTTCATTATTTTTGGAAATAAACGGTTTCCTCTACTAGTACCCAGTCCTCTGATAAAAGTGATTTGTCTTTTTAAAAGTTTCTTTTTAAGTATCTTAACTTTTCCAAGCGCAGAAACGATTTATCTAATGACCCTTAACTCATGAAACTAACATCAAAGTTAAAGGACATAAGAAAAGTGTTCCCATTTAACAAAAGAGATTTTTTGGTTTGAAGAGGTCACGTGACCTAATTTACATATTTTCGACATTCCAAATTGACACAAACTGTCAACCTTTTGACCTGGCAAAGTTTCCTGTTGCTACAACTGAAGCTTCAAAATATACACTACCCCCTAACTTTCCGGGTGAATAACTGGAGGCCCTTGCCTTAATTTGCTTGAGAAGGCTGCAGTTTTTTTTTTTTTGAATATTTACCTCAGGAAAGGAAATAATTTAGCATTTGACCAAGGGCTTGATAATGTTTGACTATCTTTTTTTTACGAAAAGGTAGCAGAATTCTTCGTCATTTGTAGCTTTCCAGGACACATGACAGATCTAAACAAGGTTGATGTTCGAACCGAAAATGTACATTGTTTCATTTAAGGTATAGCTAGAGAGTTCCCTGTATAGAACTGTTTCTATAGAGGTTGTCTTACCAAAACGTAAAAGCGCACGCGACAATGTGAGAAAGTATTATGGGTAATGCTTCCTAGTCACTGTGAACTTCAATCAAACAACGCCAAAATATTAGTACCCCTTGTACCATTTGCATCGTTGGGTGCGCTTTTACGCTTTCCTGAAAAAATCTTTTTTGGGAACGGCTGTATTCTGCCACTGATTGTCCTGTTTGTTGTGATTTCCAGCACGCGGTGACCTCATTTCTCTTACTGTATCTCTAAATTTAAAGGATTTTTAAAAAAGGATTTTAAAATAAACGCAGGGATTGAAACAGGAAATATTAAAAACAGCTAGCGTGCTAAAGTTCATTAAAAGAGTTTTGATGAGACTCCTTAACTGCCAAGGGTCCTGTTTGTCATCTTTCCTTATAACTCATATGCGCCTAAAAAGTTGACGGTGTGGTCACCTTCTACAGTCCCGTGACCCAGGAGTCTCACGGTTACCACGCTTCCCTTTTTCATTACAAACACCGCTCCAGAGTATGTGGCTTCTTCGCCCTTCACAACTTTAGAGAGGTAAATATTCCCGTCGACTAGTATCTCAAATCCAGTCCTGTCGTTATCGGTTTGAAGGAAATGGAACTGACAGTAAACAAAGTAGCGGCCATCTCGTGGTATTTCCAGTGAGTCGTTTGTTGATTTCACTCCTCCAGCGAGATGGGAAGTTGGACATGTGGAACACCAGCGAGAGAATTCTGTACATTAAAAACGAAAAAAAAAGTATTACGTTGTAAATAATTTAATGGGTAAATCTAAAACTTATTATAACTTATAACTCTTATTGAGTAAGAGAAAATTCGATAAAAAAAAATGGGGGTCACCGTGCTGTTCATGAGTTTCAGAAGCGCTTAAAACTAAAATTAAGGGTTTTTAAACAGGTCATACTGTTGCTATGGTAACCAAATCAACATGTTAACCAATGATAAGCAAGTTTTTCGATACCATGATTGTGGCATCAACCGATGTAGTGTGGTTACAATGGCCCATCAAAATCTTCGTCTTGGAAAGTGCTGGAAACTGTTTTGAGTCACCTTAAGGTGAACCTGAAACCACTATTTTTGCATCACTTGTCAAACAGTGGTAGTATCCATCTTTCAAAGTATATATAGCTGTTAGAAAAGTGCTGGAAACTGTTGCCAGCCTCCTTTAGTATTTGCAACTGCCATTTATACAACGCATTGATAATGTTAAAAGCTAGACTCACGAAGACCGTCTGAGAAACGAAATGGTCCTCCATCTCCAGTCAAATGCCCAGAAGGCTTCTGCTTAAAAATAATAATACCTCACATTAAAAGACTTCAGTATACCTTTATGTACATTTTATTTCCGATCCAGTGCAACCCGGAAAGAACGATCAAATATGATCGGTCGTTACCTTGAATTTTCTCTAGTTTTAAGTGCATCCCATGAAAAGTCGATTAGAAAATTAGTTTTACAACTCGGTATTCAAAGCAGCAAAGCATATTACGAGTATAAAAGGAGTAGAAACAAATTAAATATGTCCGTCAATCAGTCAATCAATCAATCAATCAATCAATCAATCAATCAATGAGAAACGGAGAATTTATTATCGTTCCTGGTAATTTTCTTTTCTCCCAACATTTGATAATCAGTTAAGCTTCAATTCTCTTACCTCACTGCCCTGAGAAGCATCGTCACGCATGCCTGAGGCTTCGGGACACTTCTAAAATAAGTTAATAATAAATTAATATACTAACTGGCCCGAAAACGCATTAAAATCGGTAATGATTTCATGTTAATCACTGAACAAAGAGGGAAGACTGATTAGCCGAAGAAAAACATTTGTCTACTAAGCGTTTATGTTAATGATTTTGCCAAGCATTTTTTAATGCGTTTTGCTGTTCAGTCGGATATTTTAGTGAGGTGAAAACATGACAGAGCGTTCATTCAACAGGGTAGATTTGGAAAAAGTTCGCTTTAGGCAAGCTACAATGTCAGTGATCTTGCAGTGCCTCTTACCGAACACCATGTTTCCATGCACATATGCCTTGTGAACTGTTTTAATTGATAAAATATCACTTATTGTGACCATATTTTATTGGGTATTGAGTCCTTGTAGTGTGCTTATTTTGGCTTCCAGAGAGGCTCACTTGGTCGTAGTTCTGGATAACAAACTTTGAAGCAAACTCCCTTCTCGGCTAAGAATGTGAAAGCAACTAAGTATTATTATTTTTATGAAACATACCTTTGATCCCGAGAATCCAGAAGGTCCTGGCGGACCAGGATATCCGGGATCACCCTAAGGAAAGAAAATGTACTACTTTTTATCATATTGTTCTATCGTCACCACACAGCGAGCTGGCCTCAGTACGACTGGACAGTTTGAATTCAATCGGTCTGCTAAATGCAATCCCACCCCGCGCAAAATCATTAGTTCATTCAACGAAATCAACGTCTTTATAGAAGATAAATCCTCAAATAATTCTTATCAAACAAGCGTTTAACTTGTTAGACTGAGGCTTACTGAACAAAACATGTCTATCGCTTTTTTACCTTGAGACCATCTCTTCCATCTCTACCGTCTTTTCCATCTTTCCCATCTCTGCCATCTTTTCCTTTTAGCAGGGGAGCCATCTTCCTAACAAAACTTTCAAGCCACATTGGATTGAACTCCAAAGGCTTTGCGTCTTCAGACTTTTTTGACAGTGATATAACATCCTATAAGAAAAAGAAAAAAAAAAGAAAATGAATAAAGGGAAGGTGTTGAGTATTTTCAGTGCTGAAATACGTCAAACTCGAAAGACTGTGTTTGACCACATTCGAGTCAAAATAAAGTTAAGTATTATGTCTTTCCACAAAAAGAGAAGAGCTGTTAAAAATACGACGCACAGCGCAGTATTTTTGACGCACTCTGAGGTGTTTGGAAATGTAGTCAAACACTGTTTTGAGTGTTTGATACATCTTCTCAGTGGAAACTAAAGCTTAGGGAAAAAAAGGTAGAATTATAATCGTAACAATATATATCCAAACACTGTCACGGTCATGATTTCCTCTGTTTAAACTTTATGAATTATCAATAAGTTTAAGAATTTTTTTCCTTTTCCTCCCTGATGCATATAGCGTACTGTTTGTAATATAAGTAATACATTTTGTTGTTCCACTTACTCTTTCCTTTACATCGTTTGATGTTCTTTTGTGCACCCTTTGTTCATTTGGAAGTCCAACCATGGCTTGCTGTAGCCTGACTGGACTTGTGTCAACACCCATGTAGTCGTTTAACATACCCAAGCCATCAGGAATCTGACGTTTGTCGATTGAATGTTCTCTCTCCTCTCCAGATGATTTTTCCTCCAGTCTTCGTTTCCTTGCCAAACTGGCAAATTTGTCGTGGTAATTCTCATTCATCTGGTCGTCGTATCTAACATCAACGCTTCGTCGCCTCCTCACAAGGTGCAAAGCTTCGTGAATTAATGCACTTGGATTGGCTGCAAGTTCTCTAGCTTTATGCCTAGTCAAGCGTGAGGCAGCGGTACTTGCACTGTCGCGAATTTTGTCCCCTTGACATCTCACCACAAAAATTGTAGTGGCTATCAGAGTTAGCAAAATCGTGGATCGCCTTGAAAATCCCATCGTCGTTGTTTAGTGCAGGTTTAGGTAAATACTAAAGGAGGGACAGAAAACAAAATTGCGAGAGATGAGCTACAAATTTCAGTTACTACCTACCAGTTTGCTATTCCTGCTACCTTGTTTAAATGTCTGCATAGTCCCTACAGGCTTACTGACTGAATGATGGAAAGAACCCACTGTTCTTGAGACACCCACCGTGAACCAATTGACTACACCTACTGACCGCCCCGAACGATTTAACAACAATTACTTTTATTTATTTCAGTAACCATAACAGTCTGATCATCACCCAGTGGCTTCCCATGCATGACTAACGATGACCTGAAATGACGTTGTTCTGCTTCTATCCCTTCGTGGGATGTACCCGTCTGTTCATTAAAGTAGAAAAAGTTATTTAAGAATGATGCTAAAACTTATCTTCTCAAAATACAACTAGAGAGACAAGGCTAGGGTCAAAGCCAAGCTTCCCGGTCAGCTTATAATGCATAATCTATAGAGGTCACCGTACCTTACCGAGACAAGGTCACACTTCAAGTTAATTGAGTAAATTACGGACTACTTGGAAAACCTCAGGGGAACCTTTTCGATCGTATCCGTGCCATACCTGTAGTATAACACATGTTCATTTATTGCACCAGGTTATTCACAGCGTCGCATGTAACGGGGTTAAATCAATGGAAAAAAAATATCAATATCAAAAAATATCAAATATTTTGGTTGGGTTCATGATACGTACTTGAAGCAATGGCAACAATTGGTTTCACCAGGCTGTTCACAGCGTCGCATGTAGCGGGGTTATATCAATAGAAAAAAAAAAGCGTATCTATCAAATCTTTTGGTTGGGCTCGTGACACTTGAAGCGGTAAAGCGGTCTTGACAAGGGCAACAAGGGGTTCACCGTAAATTAAGAGACCAACAGAGTCAAGAAGCCGTAGAACCACCTGCTGTTGGTGATTTCAATTAATTCAATTACAGCGAGGCCGACGTTTACCCGCGTCCAAACAATAGCTGATAGCAAACAAAGACCTTCGTTGAAACTGAGAATAGAATAATTTTTCGGTGCAAATGCTGATGCAATTATACAACAGAGACTAGCATTGAAATATTGTCACTTTTAAACCCCTTCTGTGAATCAGACAGCCCTTAAGCAGGTTGACCACGGGCGGTCAACGGATCATTTGAACAAAATAATATGGGGCGAGCGCCATATTGGTTAATGTTAGGTTACTATTTAATTCATATAAGGGGCAGTTTTGAAAAACAATCTTACTTAGTTTTCCAAAAATAAGTTCTAAAAATTAAGACCGTTTACAAACTTTCCACTAGTTCAGTAGCAACTTTAAAGTAACGCGCCATTTCCAGAACCTTTTTAACTCTTGTGTAAAAATATTTATATCTCAGCGCTAGATGAATAGCGTGAAAGGGAGGCGATAAAAGAGGTATCACAGTAAGGCTACTCGTAGTTTACTGCTACTGCTGCGATAGAATAATCACTTTTTGATTTGGATTTAAACCTCTGAGTCTAGCTCACTTGCAATAATGCCGTTCGACTCCGATTACCTACCAGCCGAGAGAACCATGACAACGCGCGCAACTCCCACATCGATAAGAATGAACAGGTGTTTATCTTTAAGGTCGGGGTAATGCTGTAAATGTCTTACATCTTTGATATCGTTAACTATCGGCCCTACAAAACTGATATTTCCCCTGAGGAAGGAATTTATGCCAGCATAAAAAAAATGCTAATTGGAATCAGCTCTGGTGCCAATCACATTAGCTTCTTTGGCCACTGCCGTCTTCTGAAGCAGGTACTCAAGTGTTAAATCAAATTTAATAACCGGTGTTTTCCGAAAAAAAAGCGATAGTCAACTCCGAGCCTTTTGTAAAATTAAACGAATGAAGACTTACCTGGACATTACCCCGTCACGTTTAGTCCGGATTTCTGCATCCTAAAGAGTGCTTTGGAGCATTTTACAGTCGGCGATATCCACTGCGTGCTTCGTTAAACTCGAATGTACTTCTTTTGAAGCATTACCTATTCTTACACAGACTTGGCAGGTGGCTGTCAGCCTTAAAGTTGGGAAATTAACTCCTTAACCGGGTTTACATTAAGCATTTTCATCGAAAATAGTGAACATGTTGAGGTTTTGAGGTGGAATGAACACAGCCTTTTACAAGCGAAGACGCAATGCAGTGGCATCTGGCATTTCCATTTTTGGGGGGTTGGATGTAGCGAAAAGAAGACAAGTTTTCATGCTTGATCAGGGCTATTTTCTGTCATAATCAAATGTTTTTCGATTTTGCTACGCAAGGTCAGATTCTTACAATTGCATTGCCTTCTTTTTAGTGTTTTGTACGACATTTTCCAACGGTTGAGCCAGCGGTCCATAACATGTTTGAATACGAGGCAATTTAAATATGTAATTCCGACTAACTAAAATACAATGGAATGTCTATAAACGCTCAAAGGCTGAAAGGAATTTTGAAAAATTTAAACAAGCTTCGTTTAAGACGAGTATGTGTTTGTTTGCCTGTGCTGTTCCTTTACCGCAGCAACAATCCGGGGTTTGGAGTTTAGTTTCGATGAAACCCCGCTAAGAACGTAGGTTCTGCCATTGTGCTTGTCACTTTCGTTTGAAAAGCTGCCACTCTCACCTAATTGAATTGACATGGTTCGTTTGCATAACCATTGACTTAACCCATCGACATGGAACTGCGTGTGAAACCACCGCGAACTACATGTGGATACTATGTTTCGGAGGTAATGATGTAAATAGACAAACAATCCTTAGGGTTTGAGAGTTCGATCTTACCTTGATTGATCAAGCTCACAACAGGTTTTCAGTGTCTGGATGTGTCTTGTTAATGTTCCATAAAACAATCTCAATAAATTTAGAAAACTCGTGTTCGTTCTTAGCTACATGCCTTGAGTCGTATTCTTAGATATACCTGCTGTGTAACTTGATTCGTATCATAACTGCAGTTAAGATGACTTAACACATTTTAAGGACTATCACTTTACTTTGTAAAGTCATTGAATAAACAAAAGTTTATTACATGTTTGTGTTTGTTTTTGTTTGTTTGCTTGTTTGCTTATATTTTATCTTTTCCCACACGGTATTTCCTTATCAAAAAATCAAGAAAAAAGAAGGTCGGTCAATATAATCAAATCAACCAATCAGAATGTTTCATTGCCATACTATATTTTGTACATATTGGACCTGATAAACCTTGTACAGCTCTGTTTAAAATAAATATGAATTCGTACAACCGCAAACATTTATAAACCTATGGTGGTTGAATATCTGTCCATGGTCATCGTTTTTAGCTGTGCAGGCCTGGCTTTGAACGAGTCGTACTGTTAAATAGCTATGCGGTGACCAAATATCATCGGTCCTTGTTCTTGGTTTTTAATTAATTAGGGAAAATTTAATGTATTGACACTCACAGGAACGCAGACCGCCACTACCAAAATACTGCATTGGAACTGGTGACTGGAAGACTCCAACGCCTTGTGGAAGCTCAGTTTGTAGACCGAATTCAATCGGTTTGCTTTTGGATCTCTCAATCCTGAAAGTCGATTTCTTCGCAAAATTACTTTCAATCTGACTTACTAATGAAGCTGATGATTATTACTGTTTTCAAGGGCGCTTCTCTTGCATTGATAATTAAAAATCGCGCTTGACGAACACACACACAGTAAAATTTACGTTACGCTGAAATAAGTTTCTTTTAACCATCTTGTTCAAACGCCCTGACGAAGTCTTTGTTATTAGACGAAACCGGTCGGAGAAAATAAAGCAAGTTGACAAGTTCTGTTGCTGTGTGCTGCTTACAAGCGTTTAGCTATTTAAAAAATGGCCAATCATTTCGAATCAGATTTAAATAGACTTTTGGTTCATTGTGAACCAAGGGAAGTGGAGTCATAGTTATACCAAATACAGGGTGCAATCTTTCATAACTGGACCTATAATTTATGAAATGGCTCAACATAATCCAGCAAGGCTCGTCGCCAAAGATGGATTTTGCTGCAACTACCAGAAATGCAGTTTGTGTTATATACTTACCTTATGTACAAGACAAACTAGAGAAATAATCCAAAATGAGTTTCGTTTGATCGAACTGCATTTTAAGAGGTCGTTGCTTTATTTTAATTGTAAGGTAATTTATGCCACGAGGTACCATCTTGTCGGAAATTTATCATCTTTTTTGTGGTTGGAGTAATTACATTCAGGGAACAAAGTAAGCACAAGCAAGGGACAATGATTAGCAACTATAGCATGCAGATTCCCATGCATGCGAAAGATGATAGATGTTAACCTGCTCTGTATCCTGAATTTGGATTTTAGTGGGAGTCAGAAGCTGCGCCGACCTATATCTCTGCTTGACTTTAAAGTATATTAATACTATTTTAAACAGTAGAGTCATTTTCGGGACCATGCGGGAAACACCAACTTAAAAAAATATGTGGTGCATTTGTGTTAATAAATGCAATGACCCTCTCCCCCTCCCCCCTCCTACTCCCCCCCCCCCTGGAGACCTTGTCTTATGACAGATTATTCTTTCACTTGGCGACTGAAGCAGAAGGAAGATAGAGTTAATACAACGCCTTATCGACGCCCTAACAAATAGAAACAGAAACTGATCGAGACAAGTGCATCCACGAAACTTCATGCATGGGATTTTTTTTTGGAGCCTCCACCTCGCGATTAAAATGCAATCTAGGCATTATACCGTACGCAAGGCTTTGCAACTGTCAACTCTGAGTTTGATTTATAGTGTTGGCCCTAGAGAATGAATGACTGATTTTGTACCAGGGCGGGAATTTTAATCTAAAATTTTTCCACTGGAAGTTGAATGCCTCCTATGTGTGGGGTTCCCCCCCTCTCAAGTTTAATATTGATAGGTGCAATAATAGTCAACACAAATCTCACCTAGTGGGACAAATTTGTCGTACTTGATATTCCAACCTTGTCGTTCAGACAGGAGGAGCAGACAACGCTCTGCAACACAGCCAATGGTCTGTGGCGGGTTGATTCCCACACCCCTCTGCGACATAGAGTCAATCCAGTAGGTTATCCGTCTCAATCATCAAAACAAACGAGTCTTATAATCCTTGAAATCCATTTGGTTTTTAAAGGAAGAATGGTGAAGACTATCACTGACAGTATCATTATGAAATTTGAGTCATTTGCCACGTCATTAGCCACGCCCCAACTCTAGCTAATTAAATTTAAAATATTTAGAGAGGAAGCCAGGTCAGCCTTAGCTGGTTTTCATTCGGATCCTCTATACTGGTCAAATTGACATTTGGAAATGTTGGTTTTTTGTGGAGGGAGAAAAACCGGAGAACTTGAAGGAAAACCCTTGGAGCAAGGCGAGAACCAACAACAAACTCAACCCACATATGGCACCAGGCCGGAATCGAACCAGGGCCATATTGGTGGGAGGCGAATTCTCTTTCCCCCACGTCATCCCAGCTTCCGGCTGACTTATATGTACAACTGTACAAGACAACTAAATTAGCCTGACTCGAAATAAAAAGCAATGTTAGAACAAACGATATCAGGGTACGTTGGCGGTAGAATATATCCGTTTAGTGTCACAAGGATTGTATACGGAAGTAGACAACTAGGTCAAAAAGCAGAGAGCTATTGAGTCTACTGGCAGTTTTGAGAGCCACTGACCTAAATTCATTCAGCCAATTAAAGCGCAAGTTAGGCCCAGTTCAGACGCCGAACTTTTCATGAGCCGAACTTAATTCGAATTTGGACCGACCCAAATTATCAAAAGTACACCTGTTGATTCAGACGNCCAAAATTCCCGGCTGAGCTAGGCGGGAAGAACGGCTGGGCCGTTCCAAATTCAAATAGCCGTTCTTAACTGATTCAGACGCCGAACTTTCCATGTACTTAATTCAATGTATTTGGTTCGGCTCATGAAAAGTTCGGCGTCTGAACTGGGCCTTAGGAACAAAAGAATCTACACTTATTCACGACAATACCAATCTTGGTGAGAACTGTATTGATGACTACGAACAAAACTTCAAACAGTCCAGAGAGAAAAGTTCATCACTCCAGAGTTATAACTCAATTTTAATGGAAGTAACATTTATGTATTTTGCACTGAGCATTGACCGTTATAGCGAAGAATAACACATTTTAATAATACGGGACAAAACATTGTGCGAACTCAAAGGAATTGAACACGAGTACAGAATCCATAGAAATCTAGAGAGCGTTTTCACATGACGTCATGACAGCCAAGTTGGTGTTCCAAAACAATGGGACGGCGGCCGTGTTGGTGCACTTAAACAATCCTGCGGGAGTTGAATTTTTTTCTTATGTAAAAACGTTTTTTTGTTCGCTCAAATTTGCTTGGCTGTCAGGACCGCGTGAGTGAACATGCTTATCGCATTTGATGAAGCTAGAGGAAGCAAGAGGGACGACAGGAGGAGGAAAACGAGAGCACGTGGGGAATGCTGCGAAGAAAAAAAAAAAAGAGAGAAGAAAGATAGCCATTTTGCAATTGCCTATCTTTCTAGAATGTGAGATTTTACCAAAATCATTGTCCTCCGCGCGCCCTCCCATTCGAAGCCTCCGCAAAGGGTAAAAGACTGAAGCAAAAACCCTATTTGGCTCTTACGAAGAATGTGAGAATTTGTACGAAACGGACGAAAGAAAGGTAAAAAAGATAAATAAGAATGGAAGAAAACACAAAATACGAGGTTTAAAAAGATATTAACCGGGCGGCCTGAGGACAGTCCGGTTTAAAATTCACGGAGTATGTTGTTTTGTTTTGTTTTTTCTTTTCTTTTCTTTTTTTTATTTTTTTCTTTTTTTCTTTTTTTTTCTGAAATGAGAACAAGGGAACCGAGAAAAGAAAGGTTAATTCCATAAAAATGTATGTACATATAGATGATAGGAGACTGACGAAAAAGTGATTACAAATTTATTCAATTCGCCATTCGTTACATACAAAATAAGTAAAAATTGCCAAGTACATAGTAATGACGTTATTTTGACGTCGACAACATACTGCGGTGTATTTCAATCGTGATCACTCGTGCTCACTCATATTCACTCGGGGTCTCTTTGAGACATGCCCTGCTATATCCATTGACTTATGAGTCATACAAAAAAATTATAACTAAACCATGCGGTATGTAAGTGCCCCTATAGCACGAGTTAAAATCGCTTATTTGATTTTGTTTAATATCTTTAAAGTCACACTAGGTGGCTCGTCACGCGCTCTTAACTTGTCTCACGTTTCCATACGGAACGCATGTTGCGCTAGACATCTATTATGTAATTCAATATAATTTAGGAAAAAAGGACCTTTGATCAGTTTTGGCAAGCACTCGTGCTCCGAAGGAAAGAAATTACTTCTTATTAGTTAGTCATATCGAAGGAAGGAAAGGTTCTATTGATGTCAACTCTCGCCAGATCCGATCCTGGAATATTTCTTAAGCTATTTGCTTGGCCCTAATTTCGTAAATCAATTGTTTCTAGTTTCACGATACGATACAACAATAAAGAAGGCGTTTCAAAAGAAGTTTGGTACGAAATAGGTTGTGTCTATCCGTGGATTTTGTGCGGTCCAGCTAGCGGTGGACAAGCGCCGCTATACGGTACTTGTATTAAAACCGAGTTCGAAAATCACTTTTCGCCAAGAATTCTGAGTGGTGCATGTTACAGCAACCAAGAGATAATAA